CGGCTCGGGCAGCTCGGGCAGGTTGGGCGGCTCGGGAGGCTCGGGCGGTTCGGGCGGCTCGGGCGGCGCGGGCGGTGTAGGGCGGCAGGGCCGCTGGTGCGAGGGGCGGCTGGGCCGCTGAGAAGGGCGGCGAGGCCGCTGCGGAAGGGCGGTGGGGCTGCTGAGTAGGGCGGCGGAGCCGCTGAGCAGGGCGGGGGGGCCGCTGAGGAGAAGGGCGGCGGGGCCGCTGAGTAGGGCGGCGGAGCCGCTGAGTAGGGCGGCGGGGCCGCTGAGGAGAAGGGCGGCGGGGCCGCTGAGGAGAAGGGCGGCGGGGCCGCTGAGTAGGGCGGCAGGGCCGCTGAGGAGAAGGGCGGCGGGGCCGCTGAGTAGGGCGGCGGGGCTGCTGAGGAGAAGGGCGGCGGGGCCGCTGAGTAGGGCGGCGGGGCCGCTGAGGAGAAGGGCGGCGGGGCCGCTGAGTAGGGCGGCGGGGCTGCTGAGGAGAAGGGCGGCGGGGCCGCTGAGTAGGGCGGCGGGGCCGCTGAGGAGAAGGGCGGCGGGGCCGCTGAGTAGGGCGTCGGGGCCGCTGAGCAGGGCGGCGGGGCCGTTGAGGAGAAGGGCGGCGGGGCCGCTGAGTAGGGGCGGGGCCGCAGCGACGGGCGGCGAGGCCGCGGAGACGGGCGGCGGGGCCGCGATGCGGGGCGACGGGGCCGCTGTGACGGGCGGCGGGGCCGCACTAAAGGGCGGCGGGGCCGAAACGAAGGGCGGCGGGGCCGCTAGGGGAAGAGGCCGCTAGGGCGTAGGGGGCCGCTAGGGCGGCTCGGCGAGGTGAGAGCCTGGAGCGCGACTCGGGCGGAGCGCGCTTCGGGCAGGAGAAAAAAAAAATGAAACTCGATGTGGTGGGCCCTAGGCACAGTTCCCAAGGGGGAACCTGCTCGATACCATGAGAAAGGTAGAACGAGAATGGAATGACTAAGGAATGGAAGTGATACAAATATGCAACCCTAGAAATGTGTACCCCATATAGGCTACCCCACTATAGCCTACACAATATTATAATTTGACAACCCCCACCCCCTCCGCCGCCTCCACCGCCACCACCACCGCCACCTCCACCGCCCCCGCCAGCTCCTTCAGCGCCCTTACCCCCCTTGCCCTTGCCGTTGCGGCGTCTCCCGCTAGGGGCAGACGCAGCGCCGACCGACTCGGTGCCAACGAGGTCGACCGCAGCAACAGAGGCAACAGAGGGCAAAAGGGGGGAGTGGGAGCACCCCTCAAAGAAGGGGGCACGAGGGTCACCACGAGAGGCTCCTATAGCGACTATACTCTTCTCTGCTGCCAGGAGGCGCTCCTCGAGGAGGTCAACGGTGAGTGTGGTGGGGCAAACAGAGAGGAAGTGGTCTCTGACCGAGCGAAGGGAGTCAGGGAGCCGGGTGACTATGTAGTAGAGGGTGATGTACATGGGGGGGGGGTTCTTGGCGCAGAACTCAGCAGGAAGTGCAGCGCGGTAGCGGGTGTCACTAGTGCGAAGGTGCGTAATGAGGTCAGCGACTGTGGGAAAGGCGGCGAGGTCAGGGAACAGGTACGGCAGCATGAGGCGACTAAGGGCAGCAGTGGCAGGGGAAGAGTAGCGTGCAACTACAGCGTTGTACAAGGTCTTAGCACTCTTGTACTGACTAAAGTGCGCGCGCTCAGTGGACGGCAGGTGACTACGCACAGCAAGACAGGCAGCGGCATTGCGTGTGGCCCACTGTGAGCGAACAGTACTGTCAGTATCGGCAGTAGGGGCAGCAGAGGTGCCAGACGTGAGATTGAATAGTGAGAGACCATCTTTTCTATCGCACTGCAGGAAAAGCTGCAGATCATCGACCCAGACCTCAAAGTCAACAGCCCGACCCTCAGCATCAAAGGTGAGAACATTTGGGGTAGCCATAACAGCAGCAGCAGCAGGCTAGCAGCAGCAGCGGCAGGCTAGCAGCAGCAGCAGCAGCAGGCTAGCAGCAGGAGCGGTAGGCTGGCAGCAGCACCACCAGGAGCGGCGCGGCTCGGCGGTGCTCTTACCAGGGGCGGGTGGGTAGAGGTCCGCAAGCGGTGGGGCAAGGCCGAGGTGCGCCGGCAGGAACAGGGCCGCGACAGGGCGGCAGAGGAGGGCCGCGCCTCGGCTACAGGGTAGGGCCGGGACGGCGGCGGCGGCGGCTGTCATGGCAGTGGGAGCGGCAGTTGTCCCAGCAGGAGCGGCGGCGGCTGTCACGGCAGCAGCGGCGGCGGCGACCGGGCGTAGAGGAAGCAGCAGCGGCAGCAGGCGCGACGGCAGCTGCTGCTGGGGGCGGCGACGACGGGGCGGTAGGGCCGTGAAGAGCCGGGAGGGGCCGCTAAGGGGCCGCGACGAGCCGCGAAGGAGCCGCGGAGGGGCCGTGAAGGAGCCGCGAAGGGCCGCGAAGGGCCGCGGAGGGGCCGCGAAGGGGGCCGCGAAGGGCGGTGAAGGGGTCGAGAAGGGGCCGCGAGGGGCCGCGAAGGGGCCGGGAGGGGCCGCGAGGGGCCGCGAATGGGCCGCAAAGGGCCGTGAGAGGGGCCTAGAAGGGCCGCGAAGGGGCCGCGAAGGAGTCGCGAAGGGGCCGCGAAGGGCCGTGAGAGGGGCCGCGAAGGGGCCTTTAGAGGGCGCGACGGGCCGCTAAGGGCAGGGGACGCGACGGGAGGGCAGGCGCACGGGGCGCGACCAGGGCAGGCGCGAAGCGCGCTCCGGGCAGGTAAGGAAAAACAAAAATCGTTTTAGTGGTGGGCCCTAGGAAACGTTCCCACTAGGGAACCCGCTCTATACCATGTGAAATAACGAGGAATGATTGAACTAGGAAAATGTGCGATACAAATGTGAAACCCTAGAAACCTGTACCCCTTAGTGTTTACCCCACTAGAGCCTACAAACACTATGTCATATATGACAAGATGTGAGCGAAGGCATGAGCAAACATTTATATGCGAACATGCAAACGGTAACGCGGTGCGTGCGAGCTAGCTAGTGCTACGCTGGCAGCGAGGCTCGGGCTAGTCCCGAAGCGTAGGCCGACACGGCCGGGCCAGCAGTGCGAGGTTTGGCAAAACAGTGCGTGCGAAGTTGGCGAAGTCCCGTTAGCAGTAACGAGCAAACAACGGCTATTGCTGTACGCGATGTATTCGGGCTTCGTAAGGAATGCCGAGAAAATTCCTTACAGAACTGCATAACAGAATTTTCATAAAGACATTGCACAACATTTCATAAGGTCTGGACTGATGGCCTAAACCCTTAGCAGAACGACATATTAAACACCTTTTGTACCATTATAACCTCATATATTATCGAGCAAAATACCTTTGAAATATTGTCAGAGTGACCTTAGAATTATTATTACTCTCCTTTAATCCGATTCCAGCCAATGCAATATGCACTCGTGTAAGGAATTTTTCGGATTCCTTACTGGGTCACACTGTACGCGTACAACCCCGACTTTCGGAAAACCAGGCTCGGTCCGCCGACCTCGCCTTCCGAGCCACTACCGCGTCGCTTTCGGGTTTCCCAACCCCGAACCTGCACCCAACCATCTCGCGACCCCGCGACCTCGGCCTAGCTAGCTTCGCTATATTAGTCCTAGGCCTCGTTGTGTTCTCAGACGTTGGAATCACTTCCGCATTATTGAGTTCTGCGCACTCTTCCTTTCACAACTCATAACAAGTCGCCTATGTCTGTAACAGTATTGAGTACAGGCCACGTCGGGAAACCCAGGTGTCAGATCTTCTTGGAAACTGGTGGTGGAGGCTCGCTCTCCTCAACTCTAGGTGTTCGCAAAATCGTATAACGACTGAATGCGACCGCTCTGGTCTGGACTTCTCTCTCAAGCCCAAAACAACAGCCACTCTGGGTCCTACATGCCATCGCAACTGGCCAATCAGCAAAAGAGGTGGTGAAAACTTCGTTGTGGCCAAGCAAGGAGCACCCTCCGTCAATATCGATGCGAAGGGACTCGCCTGCTGCACTGCGGCCCAACATCTAGGCAGAGGCTCCGTCCAACCATTTCTTTGAATCGGGCTGTGAGGAGGCTATTTTGCATCAACTTACGAGGATTTGCGTATCTCTAGAGCTTCGTATAACCCCCCTCTACCACGCCGTTGAAAAGCTTGTGGTAGCCTTAGAAGGTATTGTGTTGCTGCTGCGGTTCCGCCTTTGCTAAAGAGCAGTAAGGGGAAGGTGCTCGGTTTCGCACATTCAGTCATGGCTGAGACTAAGCCCAAGGTTTTCACGTTAGAGGAGGTGTCGAAACACAACACCGAGAAGGATTGCTGGCTGATCGTGTCTGGCAAGGTGAAGTAACGACGCTCAAATCGGTTCCATTATCCATTTTGAATCAGATCTGGATTATATGTTACCGCAGCCGCGTCTATAGATAATCAAGTGGAGTTTGTCACTGTACAGGTCTATGACGTGACTAAGTTTATGGATGATCATCCTGGTGGATCCGATGTCATGGTCTCATCTACCGGTAAGCCCAACCATGTAGATCGTGTTTGCAGACGGATCTTAAAAAAAAAATCACTAAGTACAGATGTCATCCTATGCTTTTCTCTTATACTTGTCGATGTGCTCGTCTTCAGGCAAAGACGCTACCGATGATTTCGAGGACATTGGCCACAGTAAGACTGCCAGAGACATGCTCGCTCAGTACTACGTCGGTGAGATTGACGAGTCGACGCTACCAGAGAAGCCGAGTAGAAACGGAAGCAGTGGTGGAGGGAGCCAGGAGGGTACGTCAACGTTGAAGCTGTTGCTGCAGTTCTTGATACCCGTGCTGATGGTGGTGCTGGCTCTTGCGGTTAGATCCTACACACAGGTTCCCAAGGTCGAGAGCTAACTTGACATGATACCGTGTCCAATATAACCATTATAGTCAATCGGTTGCTATGCGACGGAGCCCTACTGTCTGCTCTCAATCTTCTAAATGGTCCAGCTATGCCAATTTTGACGGACGTCCACACATAAACACGCCCTCCGCTTCTCAACACGATCGCAACCAGCTCCACCACCACTCCTTCCTCTCCTCCTTCCCCTCCTCCTCCTCCTCCTCCTCCTCCTCCTCCTCCTCCTCCTCCTCCTCCTCCTCCTCCTCCTCCTCCTCCTCCTCCTCCTCCTCCTCCTCCTCCTCCTCCTCCTCGACTAACCCTCTTCATTCTCCCCCCTCTTTCCTCCTTCCCCCTTCTCTCTTTCTCCCCCCCTGCCCCCCGTTTCCCCTCCCCCTTGTGCCGCCCACCCCATCCTCACCCACCCCCCTCATCGGCCTCCCATCCCGCCCCCACCAACCTCACCTCCCCCCCCCCCCCCCCCCCCCCCCCCTCTCCTCTCTCCCTCGCTCCCTCCCGTTCCCCCACCTAACTCCTCCCCCTTCTGCTGCGTGGACGGCAAATGGCGAGGAGCTAAAGCCTTGGGTTTCTTATTTTAAACAGGTGAAATTACCGTAATCTCACACACGTCCTTTCGTCCCATATGCTATGTAACTCGGCGCACCCTTAATTCCCGTTTTATTGCAAGCGCAACTGCACCTTTACCCAGGGTATGAAGGTACCATACCATGCCAGCCATCATTAACGAGTTCCCTATTTTTTCTCACAATTTTGGAGTCTCAATACACCATAACAAGGCTAAGAAAGCCAAAGCAACTGGACATTCCAGCAGAAACCATATCCCCATCAACTGCCTCATCATACTTTGGTGTAAGTGGGAATGATCACCCGATCCACCCCATGGGCAATGAACCATCGCCCCACATACAGCCCCGGGATGCGAATGGTGGTCCACTGGTCTGCCTTCAAGTACGGCCCCCTAGCAAACGACACAGCGCTGTTGTTTCCCATCGGCGTCATCTTGAAGAGCGGCTGCCTCAGCTGAGTGCCTATCGCTGTCCGCAGCTTCACCTGCCTCATCTGCGGGAGGGTCATTCGGCGGCGCAGGATGTGGAACGCTGTGATGTTGTACAGTGTGGGGATGCTGCTGCTCTTAGCGGGGATTCTCTTAGCGAGGGCTTCTGCCTGCACGTTGTTGGGGATGAGGATGGACGCGTCTCGCAGCGCCGACAGGTCGTACTTGGAGTTCACTGCAGGGGCAGGGCGGGGGGGGGGGGTGTGCACGGGAAGGAGGCAAGGGAGGGGGCGGGTGGGGGGAATGGAGGGGGATGGAGAGCGGGAAAGAGGGGAGAAGGAAGGCACAGAGAGTAATTTCGGAAACAAAGAGGGGAAAGTGGGGCGTTGGGGGAAGGGGAGGGAACTTGGCCCAGACAAGACGGGAATGAGCACGAAACGGGCAACTTGGTTAGCGAAACAAAGAGGGATTCAAGGTACTTGGCCACGTAGTCGCTGGTGCAAGGGCTTACGTGCGAAGTTGATGTATTTGGTGGCGTCCTGCGCGTATCGCGAGTACTGCGGGTAACGCTTCACGATGCTCTTCGCCATGCTCTGCAGCTCCGCGCGCAGCTTCGCCTTCGTCGGCGGAGGAGGCTGCGCGCAGCTCGTCGGAGCGCACGCCGCCGCCACGCACATGACTGCTACGAGGAGCAAGCCGCCTCCGAGTCGCGACGTCATCTCCGGTAATCGCTTCGAATGTAGAACGCTTTTTCAGGTCTTCCGGAGGGTTGCTACGAGCTTCAGACACGTAACTGGGCCTTGCGGATGGTATCGCCCTTGAAAGTTAAGGGTGTACACGCTGATCGTTGAGTGTGAGATTATTAAGGATGATTCTGAGCTGGATGGTATGGGCTGGTTGGAATTTCTGAGGCGCTCTGTAACAGCTGGTATTATCGTTGTTGAAGTATTTCGTCGTGATGAAAGCTAGGTCGTCGTCGTATTAGGTTGCTGCCAAACCGTTGTGATGTATGTAGGTTCTGACCAAGCCGTATTTATGAGCACACGAGACGCGTAATGCTGGCCGGATCGCTCCTGGCCAGATAGACCCTTCACAGCTCGCCCGTTCCATGTAACGCCCAAAGGGGCACACCGCGACGACGACTCGCCGCCATGGACACGCGAGGAAGCTCAGTCGCCGCCAGCAGCGGTGACATGCGGGGAACCGCTGCGCCATTGCCGCCATATGGCCGCCGTGCCCCGCCGATTCGGCGCGGAACGGCTGGCTAGACAACGCGTCCGCGTATGGAGCGATGATGTTAGGAATAATCGCATACCATCCTTTTATCTACATTTCATTCCATGAGAATAGTGACGTGCGATGTTAGCGGGTGTGAAAGTTCCTACTTGCCAGAGTCACTTGTCGTGAGCTTATGTGAAAGTTCCGTTACTGCGGTAACGAAGGGTGTAGATTCGTTCCAACACGTTGTGAGGGGTTTCAGAAAGCTAACCCAGGGTCTTATCTTTGTGAGCCGATTGCGTTTGACGCGTGTGCGACGACGCCTGTGCGACTGTGCGTGTATGAGGATCCCGTGCGGTTACGCGTGTACGACGACCCCCTTGCGAAGCAGTGATTCGGTGCCATGAGGTACGGGGGATGTTCATCGGACCAGTAGATGTACTGTATGGAGATGCTGGGTGTACTCACAAGTCATAGTGTTCCCTTATATTCTCTTCCCATACCAGTTGCACAACAACATAGGGCACGTCACGCATTTTCTAATTAGCAACCATGGAGGAGGATATCTGTGCTATTTACTTGTGTATGGAACATTATGAAATTTTTGACGGGGTTTAATCAATCATACACTTTAGTGAGCAGAACATTGAATACAATGGAATGTCGGAACGTTTTACATCGTGAGTATCTAGCAGCATGTGTTGTTACAAACTAGTTCACATATGTATGTTGGTTAGTAATAATAACGTCTCCTGCCAAACTTGTGATACTTGGGCAGACCAAAATCTGGGTAAGCTGGGGCAGCAGCAGGTGGGGCAGGCGGTGGTGCAACAAGGGGAAGCGTTTTCTTCTTCTCCAGCATCATCTTGAAGGTCTCCTCTGCCTCTACCTGCTTCCGAACGTCCGCCCCTGCTCCGAGCCTCGCCATCCGGTCCGGGTGATACCGAAGCAGCGCCTTCTTGAAAGATGCTTCAACCTGGCAGGCACGAGGAGTGGGCAACAGGACAAGCAAGCAACGAGTCAGTTGAATGAGTCAGGTGCCAGTTTTTATAGCAACGATCACACTGTTTCCACACGATTATCGAGCGAGGTATTGGGTGAAATATCACTAAAACGATTGAGAAAAGGGCATCCCGAAGAAAAACAAAGTGTGTCTCTCACCTGCTGAGTGGATGGTTGCGGCATGCCATCCACTTTTATCCCGATTTTATCAAGGACTGACGCAAAGTCACGGCACCCTGCCATGCGCTTGGCAAGGTCAGTGTGGACTGATGCTCTCAGCTGCTCCTTTAGACCAGATGCCCTCTCGACCTGAAAGGAGCAAGAAGGGAAGCAGGGAGTCAGGCGAGAGTCAAGCAGGGGAAGGAGCAGACACACCGGCCAGTCAGGTGCTGCAAGGGAACAATTTGCACCTATACTCTCAGCTGCTACCGATCACGGCCTGTTGTTCGCAGTAGCAGGCAAATCAAAGAAAGAAGCAAGAAATAAAGAGAACGGAAAAGAAGGAAGCAGGGATAGATTGGCAGGAGTGGCATGGCAACCAGATAGAAGCAAGAGGCAAGTGGAAACACGTGAGTAGAGCAGCAGGAATGAGTAGCACACGCAGGACTTTCCCTGATTTTTGACAGACAAAGAATGTTGAAGGATGAAGGCCGCCAAGCATAAAGAAGAATGAACAAAGGAAAATGAAGAAGAATGAAGAGGATTCAAGACACTCCCTTCACCTGCTCCTGCTGCTGCCGAACCTCCTCCACTCGCTTCTGCTGCCGAGCCTGCATCCGTTCCAGCCTCTCACGTTCGGCACGCTCCGCCCTCCTCCTTCGCTTCTCAGCCTGAGCCTCCTCCGCCTGCTGCTGCAGCACCTTCTGCCTTTCCCTCCACTCCTCATCCTCCACACTTTGAAACCCCTCACTCTGCCGCATAGCCTCTCTCCCCATCTCCACTGCTGCTCCACCAACGGCTACACCTGTCGTAGCTTCTCCTGTTGTTTCTGCTCCTGCCGTTGCAGCTCCTGCCGTTGCAGCTCCTGCCGTTGCTGCTCCTGCCACTGCTGCTCCTGCCATTGCTTCTCCTATTCTTGCCTTTCCTGCGACAGCTGTTCCTATGGCCCCATTGTGCCCCTCCTTCCTTCCCTCTCCTTCCCTCTCCTTTTGATCTTCTCCCTGTTTCTCCTCTCTTTCCCTTTCTCCATCCTTTCTTTTTTTGGCTTCCTCCCCCCTCTCATGTCTCCTTAGTGCACCATCTCCTTTATCCCCTACCGCAACCTCCCTCTCTCTCTTCTCCGTCTTGTCTACTCCACCCTTCATCCCACCATCCGTCATCCGACCATCCTTCAATCCATCATCCCTCCTTTGCTTCTTTGGCGTTTTGTGCCCTCCATCGGACCCTCCAGTTAGATCTTGAGTCTCTCTTAACCCATTCCGCCTTTCCCTCTTCTCTCCACTCAAACTCCCCTGCCGCTGCTCCTCTTCCTCTGCTGCTCCTGCTGCTGTGCCTCCCTCTCTTTCCACATCCATTTTTGCTGCTGCTGCTGCTGCTGCTGCTGCTTCGACCCAACCCCTGCCTGCTACTCCTACGCAATTCCTCTCTGCTGCTTCAACCCCTCTCCCATCTGCAGCTCCAACCCCTCTCCTGTCCGCTGCTCCTGTAGTGTCTGCAGCTTCTCCTGCTGCTGTCTTTCTCTCAGTTCCTGCTGCGCCCATGCTTGCTCCCGCTTCCCCCCCGATCCTCTCTGCTGCAGCGACAGCCGTTGCCGTATCTGCTGCTTTTGTATTTTGTGCCTTTCTGTAACCAGCTGCTTCTGTCACCCCGTCAACTGCTGCGTACATTCCTTCTGCTGCCCCTTTTGCCGCCCCTTCTCCTGCCCTTTCTGCTGACCCGTCTGCTCCTCTCTTACCTACCACTCTCCGCCCTCCCATCATCCCTTCACCAGAAGCCCGCTGGGCTGCAGACGCTCTGAAAACCCGCGCCTCAAAGCTCCCTTCTGACCCACTGCTGCCACCCCTAACTGCACCACCAGTCCCCCCACCTGCTGCAGCACCCCCACCAGTCCCACCAATCCCACCAATCCCAACAGTCCCACCATCCCCACCCCTCCCCGCACCTCCTGCAGCAGCTGAACGCCCAGCAGCTGCTTCACGCCTGCTCGCCCTAGCCTTAGCAGTGGAGGCGTCTGACTCATCACAGCTTGAAGCTGAGTCAGTGTGACTGGGATCCGAGTCATCAACATCAACTGCATCAAACCTTCCATGCCCACCCTTCCAAACCCCACGCCCTACTCCCCCTCTTCCCCGAACCCCATGCACTCTCTGTTCTGCTCCCTGCTCTGCCCTCTGCTCTGCCCTCTGCTCTGCCCTCTGCTCTGCCCTCTGCTCTGCCCTCTGCTCTGCCCTCTGCTCTGCCCTCTGCTCTGCCCTCTGCTCTGCTCTTTGCTCTGCTCCCTGCTCTGCCCCTCTACCTGTAACCTTGACTGCATTTACTCCCTTCACTCCATTGACCCCTTTCACTCCCTTGACTCCCTTGACTCCAAACGAAGCAGCACCAAACAAAGAAGCACCAAACGAAGCACCTCCAAACGAGGCAGCAACAAACGAGGAGAGTTCAGCATGACTGCTGTCCTCAGGGCTGCTAGAGCTGCTACCAGCGAGCTCTTCTTGACCCTTGTCCTCATCGCTGCTAAGACTCTCAGCCTCAACCCACTGCTGCTGCTGGTAGTGCTGATGCTGCTGCTGCTGCCGATGCTGCTGCTGCTGGTGCTGCTGCTGCTGGTTGTGTTGTTGTTGTTGGTGGTGGTGCTGCTGCTGCCGCTGCTGGGAGTGCTGCTGCTGGTGGTGGTGGTGGTGCTGCTGCTGCCGTTGTTGTTGGTGCTGCAGTTGCTGCTGCCACTGCTGCTCCTGTCCCTGCGGTTGCTGCTGCTGCTGCTGCTGCTGCTGCTGCTGCTGCTGCTGTTGCTGCCCTTGCTGTTGCTGCCGCTGCTGCTGCTGCTGCCCCTGCTGCCGCTGCTGCCCCTGCTGCTGTTGCTGCCGCTGCTGCTGCCCCTGCTGCCCCTGCTGCTGTTGCTGCCGCTGCTGCTGCCCCTGCTGCTGTTGCTGCCGCTGCTGCTCCATGTGCCACTGCGCTTGCCTCTTGGCTTGCCTCGCCTTAGCAGCAGCCTCCCACACTCGCCTCATCTCCTCCGCTTCACCAACCACCAAATCCTCCTCGTCCTCTTCCTTCTCTTCTTCCCCACCTGCACCCCGGACAGCACCAGCACCAGCAGCAGCATCAGCAATGGCAGCAAAATCAACAGCGGCATCAGTAGCAGCACCACCAGCAGCAGCCTCCCACACTCGCCTCATCTCCTCCGCATCACCAACCATCACCTCCTCCTCCTCCTCCTCTTCCTCCTCGTACTCGTCTTCCTCCTCCTCCTCTTCTTCCCCTCCTGCATCCCCTTCACCGGCTCCAGCAGCGGCAGCAGCAGCAGCGGCGCCAGCAGGAGTTGCACCAGCAGCAGCAGCACGCAGAGCAGCGGCGTTGGCAGCAGCAGCAGCCTCCCACATACGTCTCATGTCCTCTGCATCGCCACACACCAGATCATCATCATCATCATCCTCTGCCTTTGCTTCTTCATCCTCATCTGCTTCCTCTACAGCAGCAGCAACAGCAACAACAGCACCAGAAGCAGCAAAATTAACAACAGCACCAGAAGCAGCAAAATTAACAACAGCATCAGGAACAGCAGCTTCCCACATGCGCCTCACGTCCTCTGCATCACCACACACCAGATCATCATCATCATCCTCATCCTCCTCCTCCTCTTCCTCCTCTTCCTCCTCTTCCTGTTCATCCATCTCCTCCTCTGCCTCCCTCCCCTTCACTCTCCCCTCCTCTACCTCAACCCCTCCCTCCTCCTCCGCTTCCTCCTCCCCATCCACCCCCCCATACGCCATGGCAAGCAGAGAAGCAAAACAGGCATCAGCACCACTGGTGTCGTTTTCATGCCGACCCACGACGTTAGTAGCACCTTCAATATTGTCACCCTCCATCATGTCACCACCATCATTTGCACCCTCGCCACCTACTTCCTGGAAGCTGCCTTCACTCAGACCTTGTGCCACTGGTCCCAAGAACGTTGTCACTTTTGTTCTCCTGCTTGCTGCTAGGAATGCTGGTGCTGTTATATGTTCACCTGTCATTGCAGTGCCGGCAGTAAAATCAGGAGCAGCCCCCCCAGCAGCAGGATCGGCAGCAACACCAACAGCAGCATAAGGAGCAGAAGCATTGGCAGCAGCCTCAGAGGCAGCACCACGAGCAACAGCATCGGGAGCAGTAGCACAAGCAGTGGCATCAGGAGCAGCAGGATCAGAAGGAGCAACATCAGCAGCAGCAGCAGCACGCAGGGCAGCAGAATCCCACATACGCCTCATGTCCTCTGCATCGCCACACACCAAATCATTCGCTCCCGCTGCTTCCTCTGCTCCCTCTGTTCCCTCAGCTTCCGCTGCTTCCTCTGCTCCCTCTGTTTCCTCTGTTCCCTCTGCTCCCTCTGTTCCCTCTGCTCCCGCTGATTCCCTTCCTCCCTCTGTTCCCTCAGTTCCCTCTGCTTCCTCTGCTCGCTCTGTTCCCTCTGCACCCTTTGATTCCTCTGCTTCCTCTGCTCCTTCCTCCTCCTCTTCCTCCTCCCCCATCTCCTCGTCTCCTTCGTCCACCCCCCCATAGGCCGAGGCAAGAGCAGCAGCTAAAGTAGCAGCAGCATCACTCGAGTCGTCATCATTCTTCTGCCAAGTAGCGACATTAGTAACACCTTCACTATTGTCACCTCTCAAATCTTCATCCTCCGTAATGTCACCTCTAAAGTTGTCATCCTCCATATTGTCACCTTCATTCTTTGCATCACCACCATCCCCATCTCTGAACCCATCTGTCGTTACCCGGGCTGCTGTCAGCACTGTTGATGCTTCTGTACCTGCTCCTCCTCCTTCTCCACCGTCTCCTCCTCTATCTCCTCCCCCTCCCGTTTTTTCCACATCGTCTCCTCCTCCTGAACCTGATGCCTCCGGTGGCTCCTCAACAGCGAATTCATACTCAATCTGCTGCTTAGAATCATCAAGAATCTGAGCAGCATCCGTCCTCTCCTTCACGCAATTCCCCTCGCTTCCCCTCATATCTGCATCATTACTCATCCCTGTTATCCTTTCCTCATTCTCCAACCCTTCACAGCTCATTCCCGAATTCCAACCATTCTCGAACCTTCTAGAAGCCCCCTGACCGTTGTCTACGCCAGCTGCTCCATCTAAACAATCACGTCCGTCCGTTTGACGGGATCTGAACCGCTTGTGCTCCTCTGCTTGAGACTGAAACGTCCTACCGAGCTCCTCTGCTGCAACTGAAATCCTAGCCGTTGGATCTATACAGATTCTTCCTGCTGATCTGCCAATCAGCTCATCTGCTCCTTCCTGTCCACCAACTCCTCGATCCAGATTCACGTTCCTTTCAGCTGCCTTGTCAGATTCCGCTTCGTTACAAGCACGTCTCTCGCGCTGCCTGACAGCTCCTTCGTTATAAACAACGTGTCCATCATTCGGCCAATCATGCTCCGCCGGTTCCTGCGATATTCGATCGTCTAAGCGTCTGCTGCTTCTGCTTGCTGCTATAGGCTGCGACGTTCGAGCATCCAAGCATCTGTCGCTTGTTGCTGCTGTCACTAAACCAGCCTCTGAACTACATCTTAAGTTGGTTACTGCACGAGGTTCTAAACTAGGTCCTAATCCGGTCCGTAAACCACCAGCTACAGTTGAAGCCTCTCGAGCGGACGCCTCTCGCGCTGCAGTTGGGTCTTCGAGTGTTGTGCGGGAGGAAAACACGCGGTGCGCGTTGGTAACACTGACAGAGTTGGTCGGAATACGTGTATTGGGATCACTGTCAAGCATCACTAAATCGTCATCATCCTCCTCTTCTTCCTCTTCAGACTCCACGCATCCCTCCTCCTCTTCCTCCTCTTCATCCTCGTAGCGTACTATAAGAGGGTTACAGTCGCGATTCCGGTCAGCGGGACCGTTGGTCGCCGTCACTTCTTCGTCGAAGTCGTCGTCGCATACTATCACTTCCACCCCCTCGGGAATCCGAGATTTCACGGAGTTGCAAGGCATCAGTGCGAAAAATAAATCTGACAGCTCGAGCTCATTCGCAGGAAAACGCGTTCTATTTATGAGATAAAAATTTTGTTTTTGCAGAGGTAGCAAGCCTCGATGGCGCAGTCGGTAGCGCGTAGGTCTCATAGCAACCCGACTCCCGCACAATGGGACGGAGCCATCCTAAGGTCGTGAGTTCGATCCTCACTCGGGGCAGATATTTTGCACAATTAGCTGATTTGTTTTACAGCTACAAGTGGTTCACATTGGTGAAGCTAGGTTCCATTATGCATAGCATCAGCTAACAATTTTTAAACAGAGGTGGTAGCTTAAGAAACCCCCTCTTTTTGGCTTTCTAAAACTCATGCTGGATGTAAGGATTTACAATCCACACTGAGGCACTCGTTAGCGAGGATATCCCGAGGGTCACGCGACGAACCTGTTGGGCCTATTTCGTCGGACCGAACCACCCCCGAGTCCGCCTCCGCTCCAATCGCAACCATCACCGAGCCGTCCCATTCCGAACCCCCCGCCTAGCGGATTTTTTCCCCTATTTAGGCCTCGCTACTTCCATTGTTTCTTCATTCAGTAATTCAGTACTCAATCATTCTCGTTATTCGTTTTACTGCGCACTCTGCAAGTTCATTCATAACACTGGACGAAACATAACGCGTGAGGTGAGGTGACCGATGTTGTGAGAGGACATTGATATTGCACTTGGTATACCGAGAATATGAAAAAGGTACACTCTGACTTGAGGGCGCACCCAGCACTTGCATCTGACAGCCCGCCTGACCTTCCCCGCACCTCGAAGCACCGAATGACTGGGTCGCAAGTAGGTCGTCGCATATTCGCACATGCATTAGTCGCACACGCGTCAAACGCAACTCACGTTCATCCTAGCCATCGGCTCACGAATCATCAGCATTCGCTTCCTCTGAAAACCCTGCGTAACCGTTCATTGTTGCCAACTACCCTTCTTATACCTTTTTTAAAACCTTCTGAACCGTAGTTCTGGAACTTTCTTCTGTTGTCGAGGAACTTTCACACTAGCTCACAAGCGTATTCTCAACTCAAACCAGTCGTCGTCGTGTCTAATAGAGGAAATCACGCTGGTAGAATAAAGGGCGGTTCGCGTCTCTTCTTGTCAGTATCGTACCATGCGCTTACGCGTTATCCAGCAAGTCGTTCCGCGCCGAATCGGCGCGACACGGCGGCTGTGTGGCGGCAATGGCTCAGCGATTTCCTCGCATATCGCCGCGGGACGGCTGTTGGCGGCGACTCAGCTTCCTCGCGTGTTCGTGCAGCTTTAGGCGTTACATGGAACGGTCGAACTGCAAGGGTCTATCTGGCCAGGAGCGATCCGGCGAGCATGCCATACCTCTCGTGTACCTACTACTGATACGGCTTGGTTAGAACCTGCATACATCACAACCGTTAAGCAGCAACCTAATACGACGACGACCTAGTTCTCAGCACGACGAACAATTCCAAAGACGATACTACCAGCTGTTATAGAGCGCTTCGGACATTTCAACGAGGCCATACCATCCCGCTCAGGATCATCCTCTTTAATCTCTCATACTCAACGATCAGCGTGTACACCCTTAACTCTCAAGGGCGAAGCCATCCGCAAGGCCCAGTTACGTGTCTGAAGCTCGTAGCAATTACCGGAAATGGCGACTCGACTCGGAGGTGGCTTGCTCCTCGTAGCAGTCATGTGCGTGGCGGCGGCATGCGTTCCGACAAGCTGCGCGCAGCCTCCTCCGCCGACCAAGGCGCAGCTGCGCGCGGAGCTGCAGAGCATGGCGAAGAGCATCGTGAAGCGGTACCCGCAGTACTCGCGATACGCGCAGGACGCCACCAAATACATCAACTTCGCACGTAAGCCCTTGCACCAGCGACTATGTGGCCAGTTATTCTGAATCACCTGCCTTTTCTTTGGTGCTTTGGTAACAACGTTGCCCGTTCCGTGTTCGTTCTCTGGTGACTAGACCTAGCTGACCACATTCCTGCATCCCTTGTACACCAAAATTCTCCTTTTTGTTTCTGAAATCAATCACAGATTTTTCCTTCTCCCCTCTTTCCCCCTTTCCATCCCCTCTTCAACCCCCTCCTTTCCCTTCCCCTCCCCCCACTCCCCCTTGCTTTTCCCCTGCAGTGAACTCCAAGTACGACCTGTCGGCGCTGCGAGACGCGTCCATCCTCATCCCCAACAACGTGCACGCAGACGCCCTCGCTAAGAGAATCCCCGCTAAGAGCAGCAGCATCCCCACACTGTACAACATCACAGCGTTCCACATCCTGCGCCGACGAATGACCCTCCCGCAGATGAGGCAGGTGAAGCTGCGGACGGCGATAGGCACTCAGCTGAGGCAGCCGCTCTTCAAGATGACGCCGATGGGAAACAACAGCGCTGTGTCGTTTGCTAGGGGGCCGTACTTGAAGGCAGACCAGTGGACCACCATTCGCATCCCCGGGCTGTATGTGGGGCGATGGTTCATTGCCCATGGGGTGGATCGAGTGATCATCCCTACACACACCAAAGTATGATGAAGTAGCTGCGGAGATAGGAGGAAGCAAGGGCTACAGTGGGACATGCCTATGCATGCAGTGCTGCATCCCTCATGTGCTGCAGCAGGCATGCATGTAGTAAATTTTGATGGATCATTGCTCATCCCGACTCACACCAAGATATGATGCAGCAGTTGAGGAGGATAGGAGAATGGAACCAGCTTGTTTAGATGTTTCAAAAGCCTACTGCCAGCTTTCTGTAATGAGATTAATACTTGCAATGGGACATGTTTGGTTGGTACTCATAAGCCTCAGGTAGAGTACGGTAAGACTTCCAATATAGAAGTTAGCCTTGTAATAAGGACACAACAACTGCGGTAGGAAGAAACTAACTAGCGATTATAATGTTGACACTAATACGGCGCCATTTACAAGTCTGCTTTCCAAGACATGCCCATCAGCAACGGGGTGAACGAGAACGACGAGGTGAGCGAGAACGACGAGGGGACCTGCTAACGCTTCGGCTCCTGCTGCGGCTTCTGCTGGGAGTGCGGCTGCGACCACGGCGGGGTGGTGAACGGCTGCAAAGCAACACACACAATGCAGTAAGTTGCGCAGGGGGTTGAACATAAGCACACCCACACGTGCACCTAAGCATTTTGGCTCCTTGACTATACCCCGCGTTGGACAGAATTTACACATGTCAGCAACTTTACACACCTTCCATAGCGCCCATACTCTGGGCTGCCCCTGCGCCTGCCATAGTCAGGGCTGCCACGGCGCGCAGTCCTGTCATCGTCAAAGCTGTCCTCTCTGGCAGCAAATTCTACAGTAATTTGACGACCATCAACCGAGCTGCACTCCACAGGAATTGTGAAAGGTAAGTACGGCAAGAAGGTGCAGAGCAAGAGTTTGAACCACTCGGAGTAGAGGCAACACAGAGGAAAGGAGCAGCACAAACGCAAGTTTCTGCAGGGATATCGTGAGACATACCTTCCATCAGTTCCTTTAACCGCTGCTTCAGCCTCCTCAATCGTCTCATATTGCACAAACGCAAAGTTCTTGCGAATCTGGACCCGAACCAGTTTGCCATATGGTTCGAAATGCCTCTCCAAGTCCCGTGTTCGGGTATTGATGGGGTCAAAATTCACAACGAATAGAGTTTTCGAAGGCTTGGAGTTCCTACGCTCTACCTCCCTTTGCTTCACAGGACCTTCCCCCTGCGAAGAACAAACGGAAGCCGGCCGTATGAGAAGTTAGTATACAGAGCCACAGACGGACAAGTACGGCGGAAATTGACAGGCAATGGCATCCATGCTCACCCTTGCCCATTCAACGCGAAGGCGTCGGCGCTGCCTACCGAACTCCATACCGTCCAAAGCCCGGATGGCATCATCACCGTCGCGCTCATCATCCATGTAGACAAACGCGAAGCCTGCGTGACAGATGGCAAGGGAACATGAAGAAATCAAAGGAACAAGAACATTCGGCTGTTAAAAATAGACGCGGATTGCAATATTTGAAGATGATGGAAGAAGTAAGCAAACCGACACGATAAATTGCTGAGAAAAAAAGAAAAAAAAAAAAAAAGAGACGATACGCAAGAAAACAACACATGGATATTTATAGCCAGCACGCACACCCGGTATAAGACAGATGTGCTAGTTGACCGTGTGAACGATGACAGGCTCTGGGCATTTGTCCTCTGCCTAGGTTGGACTTTGAACGAGATGCCGGTTGTCATAACGAGTCGAGTTGAGCAAGCTTGAATCGGATAGACACGACGGGTGATGCGTAGACGAGCAGCGGAAAGCTGGCGCCATTGTTGTCTAAACTGGTCTCTGTCGACCGCGAGAGCCAGCGCGAGCGAGCGTGCATCCAGCGCGTGAAGAGCATCCAGAGCCAGAGGCTGAAATGGCTCATCACGTTGTACTTGCTGCGATGCCATGAGTCGGACGTCTCATGTTGTGTGTTCGGAATTTTATGTTGTCAGCAGAGACTGCTAACTGCTGGGTAAAGGCAATGTCCAGACGCGTGTCCGGTTCGTTGTTCCCATGAACCTGCAATTTAACTCTGAGTCGCAAACAAACTCTTCCGTGAGTGGTGCTAAAAATGAGATGTGAGCAGGAAAATAGATTATCATACCAGTCTTCATGTCTACTCGAGAAATCCGACCGTAACGGTCGAACAGCCGCTCGATCTCCGATTGCCGAGCCTCATACTCGAAGTTCCCGCAGTAAACAGCTCGAGACATGGTTTCTGGACCAGGCCACTAGCAGGTAATCTTAGATTGCAAAAAAGCAGCACGGTGAGCAGTTGCTCCTACAACGCGGCGTCTCAAGTGAAAGCCCTCGGACTCAAATAGCCGTGAGATTATTCCTGGACTCCTCCCAACAGCTCTCAAAATTGTGTATCCCCTGAAATGATCGTACCCTGATTGACTTCTGGAGAGTCTCGTCCCGTATGGCATTGACTGAGCAGATGCTGGGGTTTTCAAGCTTCCACTCTTGCTGGGTTGTTTTGCTGGTCCACTCGTCAGCATTTCGAAGGTTTCACTTTTCACTTCGAAATCGCTCCAAGGAGTGTTTCGTATCTGTTCTAGCGATCGAAATCGCCCAATTCGTAATGACCTGGACGATGATTCTCGCGGAAATCGAGGGATTTGAAATGTGTTCCGAATTGTACCAAGGACGATTTCTGCCACTCGTGCTACAAATGCTACTGTTACGGGTGCAATGAATCGAGGTAGCGAGAATTGCACTAAGGTGTCAAACGAGTACAAAATGTGAGCGAAGGCATGAGCGAGCATTTATACGCGAAACATGCAAAACGGTAACGCGGTGCGTGCGAACTTGCTAGTGCTACGCTGGAGCGAGGCTCGGGCTAGTCCCGAAGCGTAGGCCGATACGGCCATGCCAGCAGTGCGAGGTTTGGCAAAACAGTGCGCGCGAAGTCGGCGAAGTTCCGTTAGCAGTAACGGGCGAACAGTCGGCTGTTGCTGTACGCGATGTAGTCGGCTCCGTAAGGAATGCCTGAGAAAATTCCTTACACTACCCCCCCCCCTTAAGAAGCCCCCTCCGCTACGCGAGTGCGTGTATATCCCGGAATCCCCGGCTTCTCAAATACACTTGCAGGGCAGGGTGATTTTCGATGTTGCTCAGGGGCACCCAGCTATCTTCAGTTGGCGTGCGGTCTTTCCAGCGAACGAGGAATTCAATCCTCCTGATTCCCGTGGGGTGGCGGATCCGATGGCTCAAAAATTTCTCGGGCTCGATGATCGGCTCTGATGCAGGGCGAGTCATTGATTGTGGCCGGTGACGCGGCAGTTGACTCGTGGTCGGGATGTATGGGCGAAGTAGGCTGACGTGGAACGAAGGGCTGATGTACCAGTCAATTGGCAACAGTAGGTGCGCGGTGACGGGTGTGATCATGTGACTGATTTGGAATGGTCCACAGTAGCGCGGTCGTAATTTTGGTACGTCGGGCAGTCGCAGATTTTGCGTGTCGAGTAGCACGTAATCTCCAGATTGATACGTGACGGGGCGGCGGTGGCGATCAGCGTTGCGCTTAGCGATGACGTTGGCCTTTTTTATTGCTTCGGCGGCTCTGGCGCGGGCAGCTTGCAGGATTTCGGCGAATTGTTGTGCGCGTGGCGTTGGGTTGTCCGGACTCGGCGTCATGGGCACTGTGGGGTTCTGCCCATAGTTCAGGTAGAACGGGGACTGCTGCGTCGTGGCTGATGTGGCGTTGTTGTACGCGAACTCGATCAGCGGCAGCTGCTGCTCCCAGGTCGTGGGGTCGTCGCACGTGGCACGAATCAACTGCTCCATCGTCTGATTCGTCCGCTCCGTTTGGCCGTCGGTCTCGGGGTGGTACGACGAACTGAACTGTAGCCTGGTCCCGAACTGCTCCCAGAGGTTCTTCCAGAAGTTGCTGGTAAACTTCGTGTCCCTGTCGCTGATAATTGCTGCTGGTATCCCGTGCAGGCGAACAACGGCTGCGATGAACAGGCGAGCGGTCTCTTCGGCTGAGATCGACTTTTTGCACGCAGCGAAGTGTGCCATCTTCGTCAACCTATCCACGACGACCATCACCGCGTCGTTACCCCCAGGGTTCGAAGGTAACCCTGTGACGAAGTCCATGGTTACTTGCTGCCAGGCGCGTTCGGGCGGTGGGATCGGGTGCAATTGACCCGCCTTCCGCTTCCTTGAACTCTTCATCACCTGACACGTCGGGCACGAGCCCACGTGCTGCTGTACGTCGGTCAACAGCTCCGGCCAGTAATAGTACCGCTGCAGTTGCTGTCGTGTTTTTTCTACCCCGAAATGTCCCGAGGTAATCCCGTCGTGTGCCTCCTGCAGCAGCAGCTCCCTCAGTAGTGAGTACGCGGGTACCCAAATGCGGTTGGTGCCTGTTTTTACGTAATAAACTCCTTTTGCTTCTGCCAGTTGCTGTGAATTTCCGGTCGTGAAAAATGGGTCGGTGCGGTATCCGTGGGTGAATAGGCCAGTTAAAAGCGGGTTGGTCTGGGCGAGTAGGATGGCGTGGAGTTGGGCGGTGGGGCGGGTGAGAGCGTCGGCGATGTTGGATGCTCCTTTTTTGTACGTGACGGTGTAGTGAAAATTGGACTCGAGATAGTCCAACCAGCGAATCTGTCGTGGGTTGAGATTCGGTTGGGCGCGAAGGTACTGTAGCGAGCGGTGGTCTGTCCGTACTGTCACGTCGGCACCAGTCAGGTAACATCGCCAAACTTTGAACGCGTGCACGATCGCTAGCATCTCGCGGTCGTGTATCGGGTAGTTACGTTCGGGCGGGTGTAACTTGCGGGACTCGTACGCGATTGGCTGGAGGCCATTCCCGAAATCCTGCAACAGTACTGCTCCCACAGCGATGTCACTTGCGTCGGTGACGAGCTCGAACGGACGGTGGGGATCTGCAATGTGAAGGACGGGCGGGGAGCACAAAATATTTTTGAGGGCCGAGAAGGCAGCTTGCTCTTTCTCCCCCCACGTGTACTCAACCCCCTTCCTCAGCAGGTCAGTCAACGGGGCAGTCAGTTTCGCCATGTCGGGGACGAACCGGCGCACGTAGTTGACGAACCCCAGGAAACTCTGCAACTCGGTCAAGTTGGTCGGCGCGTGCCAAGCCTGAATCGTCGCAATTTTCTTCGGGTCTATTTCCACTCCTGCAGCTGAAATAACATGTCCCAAAAACTCCAGGCGGTCCTGTAAAAACTCACACTTAGATGCTTTGGTCAGTAGGCGGTTCTCACTCAGGATTTTAAAAACTGCTTCGATGTCTTGTAAGTGCTGTGCTCTGTCAGGGCTGTAAATCAGTATGTCGTCCAGATAAACGATGACGCACTTATCTAAAAGCGGGCGGAATGCTTCGTTCATGGTCATTTGGAAAGTGGCGGGGGCGTTGGTCAGTCCGAATGGCATGACGGTGTATTCGAAGGATCCGTAGCGTGTTCGGAATGCGGTTTTAGGGCAGTCGGGTGGGTTGACGCGGATTTGGTGGTATCCTCCTCGGAGGTCGATTTTCGAGAAAACCCGGGCTGTGCGCAGTTGGTCGATCAGTTCGTCGGCTCGTGGGATGGGGTAACGGGATTTGATGGTAACCCTGTTCAGTGCCCTGTAGTCGATGCACATGCGAAAACCCCCGTCCTTTTTCGGTGTGAACAGTATTGGTGCGGCGAAAGGCGACGAACTAGGGCGAATGAATTCCTTTTCTAGCAGGTAATCGAGCTGCTTCCTTAGTTCGTCTAATTCGGGTTGGGTCAGTCGGAACTGTCGCTGTACTGTTGGCTGTGCCCCCGGTTCCAGTTCTATCCTGTGATCGTGCGGTCGCTGAGGTGGCAGTCCCGTCGGCAGGTCATCCGGGAAAATGTCACTGTACTGTTGTAACAGTGCCGCCAGGTCACTCGGTACGTCGGTCAGCAGTTTCTGTAAATCGCCTCCCTTGTCTGCTGCCTCGGCTTCCCGAATGTCAACCGCGTACACGTCGGCTCCGGCCGCAACAGCGCGTTTCATCGTGATCGCGTTGACACGCACCGACGAAGACTCAGGCGAGCCCCAGCGAGGTAAGGCGATGCTGTTACCGTTCACTCGCACGGTGCAGTCACCCGTCGTCCAGTCAATTCGCGGGTTGTGTCGTCGCAGCCAATCACGCCCGAGTAAAATGTCGGTTCCGTCGAGGGTCGTTGCGAGCATTTCCTGACTAAACGTGAAGTTACCCCCGCATCGAATCCGAACTCGGTCTACGCGTTCCCGTATTGCCAGCGGCGTGCCGTCTACCAGTCGTGCGTCGATCTCAGGTAAGCATCGGTCCAGTGGCAGTCGCAGTTTTCGTGCTGTAGCAGTGTTAATGAGGCTGTGGCTGGCTCCCCCATCTACGAAGATTTTAACTAAGTCCGTCCCAATTTTCCCACTGAGC